CAGAGAGTCATGTGGTGTCATCCATTGTGACAGAAGCTGGACCGTAAGGAAGGTGAGAACAGCTGCGGCAACTAGGAATATATACAGAAGTTCTCCAGCTTCCTGCGGCTCAGTCGAGCCGGGATCTCAGCTTTGGATGCTCTCTTTCCCACCTGCAGAAGAAAAGGAGAACTTCAGACCCTCCCACTAAGAGATCCTTATAACAACCCTGTGGGCTATGAATTATTATCCCGATTCATAATTCATAAGAAAAGGAAGCTCAGATGGGTAAGGCAAATAATTCAGGGTCAACTGCTAGTTAGAAGTAAAGGAGGGGCTTGAACCCAGTTCTTCTGGCTCCATTTCTAGTGCTTTTTAACCACACCACCCCTCTTCGTGACCCACGTAGATTGCCTTGGCCCACATGGTGTCCTTTACAACCCTGGCCTGTCCAGCTGGCTTTAATGTAGGGCCGCAGCTCAAGTGCCAGAAATTCCAGCAGGCACCCATCTACCCTCACCCTTGTGACCAGGGGCAACATCTTTATCAGGCCACAGGTGGAAGCTCTGGTGTTAAATGAGGCTGATGGGTGGGGTGCTCTCCATGTTTTAAATTCTCTGGGTATAAATGGGAAGTATAATTATACTACCGCATAGTATTCTGTGAGTATTAAATAAGATAGTTCACATGAAGACACTGGCAGGCTAATATATATATATATATATATATATATATATATATATATATATATACACACACATATATGCAATAAACCTCCAATAAATGTTGAGTCCCTACTTTCCATTCCCTAAATGGCCTGATGGGAATCATATTGGCCACGGGGCTCATTGGTCTCTTTTGTGCAGTGTCCATCCCAGCAGCAGCTGAAGATCACCTATATCCTGGAATGATTCCCAATTACTTACTAATGGGAAAATCATTTAAATTCATTTATCCTCCCTTCTCTGCTCCCCGTTCCCCAACACACACATACCCGTGGAAAGGAGAGATGTCCAGTGTGTGGCACACAGCTGGGAAACTAGCCTGGGGATAGCCCTAATTTAAAACTCTATCTCCCCAACAGGAGTCAAACTCCAAAATATGATATGATCTTGGGTTAGACCATCACTGTCCTTGAACCTCAGTTTCTTCATCTCTAAAATGAAGATTTGGATTAGAAGATCCCTAAAATCCCTACAACCCTGAGACCCTATGGATGACTTTTCACACGTGTATGACTTCAGGGCTATATGCTATGAGCACTAAACCCATTCAGAGGAGCTCCTTACCTCTTCATAGACAGTTTTATTGAAGGAAGTGTTGCGGTTCGTCTTCTTGGATTCAGACTGGAAATTCAGAGGGTAAAGAGTGCTTAACTTCAAGTTAAGAAATGTCCCACTCCTAACTGATGTGAGAGGTCCCAAAGGAGACTCAGGGCCCAGAAAGTCCCTGAAGTGTCCCCAGCCAGAAATGAATAGAATTTCCTACCCCGGGAGTAAACAATGATGTTTACGGTTTCCAAAGAAGGCACAGTACATACTTGCCTATGATATGACATTTGTGAACCAAAAGAGTTTAGTGTCCCACACCCACATACCCCTAAAAGCCACACATACACACATTCCCAGCACACACACACACACCCTTCAGACAAACCTAACACAAATACTGCCTCAAACTGTGTATCTTTTCAACACATAGCATACATACACACCTTAGTGTAAGCAATTCTGGCACATACATAAGTACCAATCCTAGCACATACCCTGAACATGGTGAAACACTGGAGACAGTGCAGGAACTCAGAAGCACTTTCAGTAGTATACAGAGCCTTCACAACCTAATACAAAAGTATGTGATCATGGTGCCCGTGACCATCTCTATGTCCATAAACTCTAGTGTATAATTTAAATATAAATACCTCTCATGGTAGAATCCAAGTTGATTTAATGACTTATTAGAAGGAGGGTGAGTGAAAAGTCTAAAAATCTTCCCAAACCTCTCCCCCATTTGACACAAACACAGGATCCTGACACACATGAACTCAACACTTCCACAGTTCGGCAGATTCCAAACTTCCCATACTACCATGGTAAGGTTTTGGATTCATACTGTGACTCCAGCCTTGGAATTAACGTTCTTCCCACCCCCCACCCCCCAAGGTGGAAATATGCCCATGGGCACTAGGATGTCCCACTTTGTGGTCCCAGGCACATGTAACAGCTGTGAGCTCAGCTTGGAGAAGGATTCAAGGAGACCCTGATGGGTTGCCTCGTTCTGGAGACCACCACCAGCAGGTGACTGGCCAGAACCTTTGTCTGATTCTCTGAAAGTCAACACTGTTTCTCTCAAGGTCCAGTCTACTCCTCTAGTTCCAGGTTATATGCCCCTGCCTTGGAAATGACTCCATTATCTCCCACCATAGCCTCAGTTGGTCTAATGAGGACTCTGTGGTCCTTCTGCACAAAGCACCTCCTTTCTGTCTTTGACGGTCCTCCGCCTCCCACAGAAACTCCTATAGAATCCACTCTTCTCCTAATCTCAGAGCTGTTCTTTTTCTCCAGACAGAACCAGAAAGGCATTTCTAGTTGACCTATTAACATTTAAACACAGTCATTTAACACAAGCTACTCAGATACACACAGTGGAAGACAACTCACTCAGAAGTACACACACACACACCCTCTGCAAACACATGCCTGCATATGCACAGGCAAAATACGTATCTGCATAAAGAGCACCCTGTGGAGGGGACTTACCTTCCAGGAAGACTGTACTAATGAATACAATGTATTTGCGTTATCTTGTGATGTGGAAGCAGAAGACTAAAGAAAAGAGAAATAAAACCATTTCAGAAGCAGAGATCCAACAGGCAGGGGAGGCAGGCATCTATCTCTTCCATTCCTCCCCTTCAACCTTGCCCAGACAGCAGGTTTAAGTGTTAGTGAAAAGAATCCTGGACTAGTTGGGAGGTCAGACAACCTGAAAGGTAGTCCTGCTCTGTTATTAAAGATAGCTGCAGGCTTCCCTGGTGGCGCAGTGGTTGAGAGTCTGCCTGCCGATGCACGGGACACGGGTTCGTGCCCCGGTCTGGGAGGATCCCACATGCCGTGGAGCGGCTGGGCCCGTGAGCCATGGCCTCTGAGCCTGCGCGTCCGGAGCCTGTGCTCCACAACGGGAGAGACCACAACAGTGAGAGGCCCGTGTACGGGGGAAAAAAAAGACAGCTGCTACTTTTTGAGTGCTTATTCTGTATGTGCATTCTCCCCTAACCCTTATAACACTCCTACAAAATAGGAATAATCATAATTTGCCCCATTCTACAGATGAGACTCCAAAAGGGTAAATAGCCCAAGTCAGAGAGTGCTCACAGTAGAAGCGGGATCTACACCTCAGACTCTCCAAGGTTCTTTCCCCTCAGACTCTCCAAGGTTCTTTCCGCAACACCTCAGTGCCTCCCTTTGACATCATGCCTTCCCTCTCTGGACCTGAGCCAGGTGTCCTCAAAGGCAGGTAACCATCCTCTTTTTAAGATGCTCCAGAGGAGAAATCTCATTCTCACCATCATCTCAGTCTAAGAGGATTTCTTCCTTGCATTTATTTAAATTCCTCTTGTTGGAATTCAATGTGACTAAAGCCAGAAAACTGCCAGATATCAATGGCCCTTACAACTCTCTTTGACTTTGACCCATTATCAGTGAATCACGTTATCTTAAGAGGAGTAGAATTAGGCAACACCCAGCTTGGGAATTCCAGAGTGGCTCTGAGGGGGCGGGCACCTTCCTTCCTCCTTTCTTCCCTCTCTTCCATTTCTCTCCTCTCTTCCTCTCCCCTCCATTGCCTTCCCTTCTCCTCTTCCCTCTTTTCTTGATCTCCCTCTGAAGCTTATCACCATTCCCCAAGAGTTTTCTCTGTCCTGCAGCCTAGCCACCAAGCTGAAGAGGTTGCTGCTTCAAGTCTTAATTCTTTAAAAAATAAATAGGTAAAATAATGTCATTTTTATCAGACATTATCATTACTGGCCACGAGGGGGCAGTGTTTTCTTTGCGAGAGATGCCTCAGCAGTCTGGGTTATCAATACAGTCATTTTAGCAGTACAATATTACAGTACAGGCTCCTTCTCCAGTTTACGGGTGAATTTCCACAATCCCAGAATGTTAGAGATGAAGTAGGTAGAGGTGGAGTGAAGACTCGGAAACAATTTGGCTCAACTTTGCCGCAACACAGCTATGTGGCCTTGAGCACGTTAGTTAACCTCTGAGTTTGCTTCCTCATCCACGAAATGGGTTTTTTTTTTTAATTTATTTATTTTTGGCTTTGTTGGGTCTTTGTTGCTGCGCACGGCCTTTCTCTAGTGGTGGCGAGCAGGAGCTACTCTTCGTTGTGGTGCACGGACTTCTCATTGCAGTGGCTTCTCTTGTTGTGGAGCATGGGTTCTAGGCACACTGGCTTCAGTAGTGGTGGCATGCAGTCTCAGTAGTTGTGGCACACGGGCTTAGTTGCTCCGCGGCATGTGGGATTGTGACGAAAGAAACGGAAGAACAGCTTCAGGGCTAACAGCACATTTTGACTTCTGTAAGGTGCTTTGCTTACTTGTTTGGGGCAGGAAGAACCGGGTTCCTGATTGGCTGATTCAAAATTAAACAGCTCCCTCCCGCCTTGGGAACTTCCCGTCCTGTGAAGGGTATAAAGGCCTCGCCCGACTGTTAGTCGGGGTCTCACTCACTTCTCTCCGAGTGGGACCCTGTCCGGACAGTTTGTGTAAGCTTCTATACTTGTATAAATCCTTTGCTAATCTTTCTGCTTGGTGTTGGTGATTCTCGGGTGTCCTTGGTTGGGACACGGGTCGCATTTACCGGGGAACTCGACTCCAGGCGTGTGGCTCCCGGACCGCAACATTTGGGGGCTCGTCCGGGATCGGACAGTGGAGGTTAAAGACCTGAAACAGGGTCCCTCCTCCGAAGCCACCACCTGCTCCTTCCTCGGGTAAGTTTGCGACCCCTGGCTTGCCGGCAAGAAACTAGGAGACTCCATTAAGGCTTGTCAGACGCGACGTTAAGCCTGGAGTCAGGAGGAGTCATGGGACGCCGCGATTCCTCCTTGGGAATTCAAAGTCGGTTTCGATATTCTTTTGT